TACACCATAACCATAAAACTACAACCCACATTCTGCCACAACTATCCCACGTCACTTGGGCCGGTATCAAGCCCGACGTCGACGTATTTGTCGCTGGTAGGGGTTCAACTGTCCAACTTTTATTATTGAACGAAATTTGATAGACAGATGTACCACCAGTCCAATGTGTCATATACACTAGAGTGTCATTGTATGTCTGAAGGCTATACAGTGAATTTTTGTTCGTAATCCTGACAAATCACTGACATTAATTACTGAATGATTAACTCATAAGGTATGATATATGTTTCCAGTACTTTATTAGTTATTTTGATTATTATATTATTCGTAATATTTCTTCTCCTTTCTAACTCTGTGCTGCGGTCTTCTATGTCTTATCAGTAAATTGTTATACGCGTAGCTGTGAGAATGCTTCCTCTCGTTCTATAATACATACTCATCTGCATTCTACTCTTTGAAAATTTATAACAAGCCTCACTAAATACCTTGGCTGCCACATTGTATCGTTGCTGTGAAAGATATGAATGCTTATGACGCACAGAACGATAAAATTTGACTTTATTCTGATACAAAAAACGAAGATTATCCGTAAATCAGACTTTATCTCGAGATTTCTGAGTTATTATTTTATGTGGGATGAATTTATGTACTTGTTCAACAAAAATTTCCTCCGACCTTTTCACTGACATCATCATACGAACGCAAAAGAGAATGAAATGGAATATGTGAGAAATTTTCATTAATTAAATCCCAATTGGCAAGTTTAGAATCATAAATTAATCTCTCAATACTCCTCTTGTGAGCTAGTCTAGAACTAAGACAGAACTCGACAAAACTGTGATCACTATGAGATAATGCTGGACAGATGGATACATCAACAACAAGTGAAGGAACAGTAGTTATAATCAAGTCAAGGCAAGTTTGTGACTTGGGTCTACTAACGCCAAATACCATCTGATAAAGATTACGAGAAATGAGATAATTATTCAACTGAACACCTTCATTAGTTGATACTTTGGAGCTTTTACTCCATGGCTGAAAGTGAGCGTTGAAGTCCCCAAGAAAGAGAATTTGATCATTTTTATATTTAGTTTGAGAAATACTAGTTAAAATAGAATCCATCCGATCTAGAAACGGTTTAATAATAGGATTCGGTTGTCTATAACACGTAAATACCAAAACGTGTAGAGAGTGAGAAAGAGTAAGCCTGACACATAAAATTTCAAATGCTAAATCTTCAAAGATGGCAACACGAGTACTGTGAAAATCGCGTCGAGTATACAACATACATCCACCACCGTGTCTATTACGATCAAGCCGAAAAGGAGAATGATAGCCGAAAAGATCGATATCAAAATCCTTAATAGTCTGATCTATCCATGTTCCAGTGAGTGAAAGCATAATCGGCTGATTAATCGACACATACGCACGGATGGCATCAATTTGTGGTACTAAACTCCTGATATTCATACTAGCAATCCTCAAATCAGCTGCCGTTGCCTCACTTATCGCCATAGGCCGTCATTGTTTCGATTACTAGTTATTTCATATATATATACTTCAACGAAAAATTTTACTTTCTCAATAACCTGCTTTGTTTCAAGCCTTTGTCTAGAAAAAGTGTTTTATATACATTTCATAGTCAAGAAAGAGAGGGTTGTGATGCATATATAATTTTTGGCCTTTCAAGTTATTTGATCAAAGAGTTTTAAGTTCAAAATGGGTGTGTTTGGCTAAAACAATCATTTTGATCCGTGTTTCTTGAGCCCTACTAGGTACTTTAAAATACGTTTAAACCTATTTATATACAATTTACGTGACACGTAGAACACAAATACGAGCAAAAGTTTTATTTTATGTAAAGTGGTTTCCCATAGAGTACCTCTGATATCTTTTAGTCATTCAATTTTACCTAAAACTTGAATTGATATTTTATACATGTCGTTAAATGTGACTTCAAATGATATCGTGTTTGTTGACGATCTGTATAACAACTCGAGCAGCAGCAAAAGAAATATTGAGGTGGGGTTTTCTTGAGGAAGAAAGAAGTCAGAAAATTTCTTGTTTTACTTTTGCATAGCCCAAAATGCGAGCTATACTTCTGGTTAGTTTCTCATTCTTAAGTGAATTTTTCATATATTAAACACAATTATTTTAAACTTGGCCATTTCTGGACCAATCTTTTGCCCGCTCTATCCAGCGATAAAAAAAGAATTTTCTCATCTGTGTTATTTCAAGGGTAAATCCATATAGACTCTACCATCATTACATCAACGTTTGGTGCAGAAGACGAAAAACACATTTTCAGATGCACTTTTGGACGCTGATCCCATTGGTGCAAACCGCAGCTCTCTAGCATTGTTAGGAAAAGAAGATATACACTTCGCTTCAACAATCTGTGTCGGACAGTGAACGACTTCAACTTCAGGTCAGTAGTCGCCTCACATCGAGCGTGGTTCAAGGAAGTGCTTACGAACAGGATATCAGTGGCAAGGAGAACGAAATTTCTCAAGCGGATCAAGCTCTTGTCGGTGCATTGACTCAGTTGACTGCGGCCGAACATACTGTCATCGAAAAAGAACATGCCGTTAACAGTGCTGATCAGAGTGTTCGCGATGCCGAAGAAGACGTTGAAAAGGCGAGAAAGTGTCGGGGCAAACGAAGCTGGTTCGGCAAAATCACTCGTCCCCTTGTTCGACCGATCGAGAAAGTGGTAAAAGAAGTTATTATCAAGCCCGTGTGTTCGGTTATCAACGAGGGCGGCATTGATAATGCGAAGAAACGACGGAATGAAGCTGTCAGTCAGTTGAACAGTGTTCGAGTTCAAGCAGAGCACTATCCTTTACATAAATGCAAAGGTGAAATCATTCCACAAAATCGCGCAATACACTCGACGTAAACAGGTACAATAAAAATGGGAAAAAGCTGATTGCTGATATTCTGTAAACAAGGGGAAGATGGGGAAAAACCAAGTAAATAGGGGGAACACATACGTAAAAAACAACATTCGTTTAAATTCTAGACTAGTGCATCCGTTCACTCTACAAGATTTTATCATAGCGACCCTTTACCTAATTTTGTTTTGGATATAGATATCCCTTTCCCCCATCCTAGTCTAAAAGTTAACCAGTAGCCTAAATATTTAAAACAAGTTACCCATTTTATCTGATGGGTACCACAAAAATATTAAAATCTGGTTTTCTCAGCGCACGTGAAGACCTTAATGCAACAGTTTTGGAGTAGTTAATCGGCTGAACCGCTAACACTGAATAATATTCAAGGTGATCAAGGAACTTCTTTAGACGCCTCTCTAAATCCCAACACTGTTGGGTAAACGTCACACCAATCATTCTCGCAAGAACACTGACTAGATTATCAGCAAAGAAATTTGCTAGAGATGTCTCTAAAACGGTCCACATATCCGATTGATAGGTGATAAAGACTGTGGGGGTAAGAGGTGAACCTTGAGGACCGCCTCTCTTAGTGGTGAACAAGCGAGAACATTTCCCATTCATTTCAATAAAGCCGTGCCTATCTTTAAGCCAGGCACCGATCCAATCTACGTACGCTTTAGGTATCCCAATGTGGTACAACTTTGCCAAACCACGAAAGTTGGTCGAACGCCTGTTTGAAGTCCACAAAAACGGTAGTGACAGGCGTGTTGTTGCTCATTAAAGATGTGGTTTGGTCTATCAAAAGCACGAGAGTGGAGACGGAATTTAGGTCGGAAACCTGACTAAGAATGGTGCAAAATACCTCGTTTTTCTAAGAGCTTTTGAAAACGAACCAGAAAGAGACGCTCTGGCAATTTGAGAAACACATCAAGGAGAGAAATAGGACGGGTATCGGCAATTAAACAAACGGATTCGTTTTTTGCAAGTCATTTCATTTTCACGGTTTTCCGATAGGATGGACCCACGAATGATGTTAAGGACAACTTAAAAATTTTTAAAATACCTATCCAGAAGGAAGAGGACATACATTGAAACACAAAAGCGGAGATGCCATGTGAATCGAAAGAGGTATGTTTCTTAACTTTGGACACTACTTTCATAAGTTCTGACAAGGTTATTGGTGGGATGAGTTCGTCTTGGTTCTCCCAGGACAGTCGACATATGGGTGAGGACGGTACACGATTGTCTCGTCAAACAATTTTTCGTAATAGTCAGCCGCCATACACAGCATGTCTTACGTGTTATTGATAACCTCACCGTTTTCTGACAAAAAGGCTTTTAAAGTGCAATTAGCTCTAAAATTCTTCCTCACTTTTGACCAAAATCCAACAGAGGATCTTGAACAGGTATACCGCGCACTCATAGATTGCCAAACGAGCAAAGAGATCATCATGAAGCTCAGCTTTGTTGCTTTTTCTTAATTCTTTGATTTTTACTTACAGAAGAGCGTCGCCTGTTCTTCTGACTCTCAATGGCAAAGCTCGAACATATGCGAGTTTGATCCGAAGCTCCTCAGAGATCGCGACTCGATATTGTTTTAAAGGAAAATAAATCGTACTACGAGGTTTCAGGAGAGAAAGAAAAGAGAAATAAAAGTAGGATAAACAACTTCCCAAGACGAATGCTCCCATTGTAATGACCAGAAATCGTAAATAAACGACATAAAATAATTAAAAACAACCCAATGAGTGTTATAAATAAATGCAATTTCTTTTTGCTCGCACGCGATAATGCCAAGAACGGGTTCATGGTCACTTGTGGTGCTGGTATCCCAATTTTGAGCTAAGAGAGGAACTCCAGTAGCGAAAGCATAATCAATGAGATGGTTCGAACGTTTAGAGGTCGGCTTATTAAGAAGAATAGGTGGCAAAAAGAGAGAATCAGTCCACTCAAGGAGGATTACGGACCTAGCATTATCAACCGGATCGTCTAGATCAACATTAAAGTCACCAAAAAACACACACGAGATAGAGACAGATGGGGAGAGGGTGTCCCACATCCATGATCTACTTCTGGGAGCATACAGACCAACGATACGTAAAACTTGGTCTAAAAATTTATCGCCCCTACCTCTAATAAAACTAGACAATCAGAGTTCGACTTTTCGAAGAAAAGTAAAACTTCTCCAATCTCTCAGCTAAACCCCTAGGTTAAATAATAGAACATTGAAATGAGTGAAAGATAGTTTCTTGCCTTTATTAAGCTAACTTCGAGTTCACAAGTTACACATTATTATTAAATGCATATTAATAGCGTGAACTCTGCTCAACTGATTAGTTTTCATTTAGCTCTGCCAGCAAGCAATTGATTTGAAAGATTTGCCACATGGCCTGAAGAGAAAGCTAGAAAGCCATCTTAGTTGAACAAATTTTTCCAGCACTTGACCATTAACGTTTAATTTATTTAAGTGAATATTCTCTTCGGTAAGAAAAAAGTGCTTTGTTTTTGTCAAACAGTCATATTGTGAACCAGATAACTCAAAAACTAGATGGTGTCCTTTCGGAAAAATAGTCTATCTTAAAGTCCGAGTCCAGTACTCTACATTCGTTAACAATTGAAGGAAGGATGCCTTTAAGGCTATTTCAGTTAGTTAACCTGTGCGAAAATCAGGAAAATTTCTATTGCTTTCGTTGAAAAGAAAAAATTTTCATAATGCAATAAAATAGAGTATTTTATTTGAAAACGGATATATAAGTACATATATGCGTAAGTGATACTTATAAACAGAAAGAATGCAATTCAGCTTTAAATTGTGTTAGATTGTGTAACCGATAATAAAAAATAAACATTTGTTCGATTCTGTACATAGAAATGTATCCGACTTCTTTCATTCAGCAAAACCAGAGAAAGAAAAAGAAAAGAGAATGTTATTGCAATATGTCGATGAAAACTGTCATTTAATTGTCCGTTAACAGCCTGTTAGCTGTATGCCCAAAAATGGTCTGTTAATTGTGTAAAAATGGAATGAAAATTGGTATTTAACAGCCATTATAATGACTTTCTTTTTGCTTTGAAATAACGGTGAAAATAATGTCATACTATAGTCAATGTCCGAAAAAATGGCATTTTACGGACACCATTAAATGGCATTTTCGTCCATTTATCAGACCGCGTTAACTGATGCCAAATAAATGTGCCTGTTACATGTCTGTTTTGAGGCGGTTTTTTTCCATTTCAATATGGCAAAAAACGATCAAAGTTTTCAATGAGCAAGTTTTCAAGGCTATTTTCCTATATCAAGCTTTACCGTAACTTCATATTAGATTTTGAACAGAATCGTTTTTGTTAAGTACCGGTATGCTTTATGTACTTCCTCAGAAGTATTAATTTAAAAAGTCTCTATAAAGTTATAATGGTACATATGCACTTAAAAGTGTGTAAAATCGCTTTTTCTACAAAATCTGATCAAAATGAAGTCCAAAAAGCAGTAGGCCAAAACCAAGAAAAATCGAGCCTCTCCTTTGTTTTGTTTTGTTGGAGTGTCTTTGTATAAACCTTTTCTTCCTCACCCACACCGGAAACGGTAATAGGACTAACTAACATACTTACACCTGGATTTTTTCTCATATTTTCTTTTCCTTCCTTTTCCATCCTTCATTTATTCGCATGAAATTTATTTTATTCTATGGTTAACGTGATTCTCTTATTGCATCAACTGTTTGATTCGTTGTGAACTTAAGTGGAAAACGAAAAGGTAGAGAAAAGCCATTATAATAAGTTTATGAACAAATAATCTTCCTGTGAACTAATATCGAAATGCACAAGTTCATAACGAATCATTTAACAATAATAATTACGATTGCTTACGTGTTGATATGCTTAATAATATGTTGAATTTAGAAAAATATTATTCTCTGTCATTTGGTTAAAAAGCCCCATTGAAGAAATCACTGTCCATCCCGAACTCCAACAAATCAGATATTCTCAAGCAAAAAAATGCCTTTGAGATTATCTAGCTATCAAAATATGTTATCGGGCAATATCGGCTTGTGATAGCTAGCTCTCCGTACCACTTTTATCGAGTTAGCTAGCTATATCGAGTATGATAGCTAGCGACTAGATATCGTACCCGATATATCGGGTTGACGAAAAACACTGATCAGAGT